ACCACCTCGATGGGCCCATGTAAAGTAAAGTAAATGTAGGTAAGATGTAGGTAGAGAGGTGGGCAATGAGCGAGTGTCGATGAGTGGGGGTGGTTTTCAGGCTGTGGTTTTGCCTCGCGACTTTAAGGGAGTGTTCTTCTTCGCCATTTCGCGCTGATAATCCCCGAAGATTCTCCCTGATAGTCGAATTGCGACCGTATGCCATTCGGCAGCGAAGTGGTGGAGCAGATGCTCTCTTGTGAGGACGAGCGAGGCGACCAACCCGGAGTTAAGAAATGATGTCATCACGCCTCGGCCCGCGATCAACCACGCCACAGCTTTGGATCAACTCATCAATCTGCGCCCAAATTTGGCATGGAGGGACGCCAGGGATCGTACTCCCTCCCTCGAGCCCAAGCCTCTCACATCTCTCAGTATTGAACCTTATATTTGCAAGTGGCTAACTAACTAGGGTGGCCAACTAAGGGGTTACCCATAGTATTCCCCCTTGAACGCGGAGACCTTCCACCGTTCTTGCGTGTTCCCTCCTCCCTGAGTTTCCTACATTTGTGTGCTTCACTCCGAAAGGAGTTGAAGCCTCACATCGATCTACGAGCCCGGTTGCGAAGTCAAGCCGTATTTCATTGTGCAGGTCCAGATCGCCCAGCGGAAGGATCCGGAAGTCTGGCCATAGGTTAAAAGTATCCTTATCATACAAAAACACGATCACCGGAAGGAACACTTGGGACTGCATGAGTGATTTTTGTGATGCTCCCGAATTTTCCCCCGGCCACGACAAAATGCTGTGCCTCCGGGAAAAAAGCATCGATATACCTAGAGCACGATGAGAGTCTCTTTGGAGGAGGGTCCAGGGCACAAACTGATCGCTGCAAGAGCCGCCTTCATCCACCGTCGATTAGGAGTGGAATTCCGGTTCAAACTTGAAGTGAGGCTCTTCATCCATGTGTTGTCGTTGTTCAGTGTCGAGCCTGGGTGGTTTTTCCGGAGGGACGGCTGGATGATTGTCTACTTGAGTCGAACCCTCCCTCTGTCGCAATGCGTCCCACAACTCACGCTTGGGCGCGCAGAATGGAGGAAAGAACGGATGAGCGGTCGTTGGTGATGGTAACTGTTAAAGGGATGTGTAAGCCGCCGTGAGAAATTCCCTTGATATCGAGAAATTCAAGGCGATTCCTGTTTTGTCTCAAACTTGGAACGAGGCGGGTGGCTATGTAAATTCCTGGGATTACTAAGTTAACTATTGGTACACTACTTAATATGTTAGTTATATAGATGAGGTAACCATCAGGAACGATAAAATCAAGCAGGGCCGGCGAATTGCACAGCGGGGCAGTTCTGCCCACCAGTTGGGCAATGGGGGATCAGTGTCTCCTGGGCACCACCTGGAATGTGCTTAGCAGTGTTTTATAAGGTAAGGGAGCCGCTTACGGTCAGTAGTGAGTGAAGGGAAGGGCTGTTTGCAGCTGAGCTGGAGGTCCTTCGCGCTCTTGGTTGCAGGGAAGCTATATTTCGGGCGGATCAGTCACTGCGGAGGAGTTTCACAAGAACGGGACTCGCCTGGCGGGTTTGACGGGAGTCTCGACTGTGGCGGGCACGACATCAGAGCAGTCGATGAGGTTCTTGCGATTGTGTCCGAGGATCGCCATCTTGGCCATGGCTGCCTTGAAACTCGCTGCCATAAATTCCTGCTTATCTATGGAAGCCTGAGCGGCTATTTAGATCAACGGACGCCAACGACACGCACTGACAAAGCCCTGCCAGTAGCACGCGGTGCGGGGATCGTGGGCGACCGCAAAGTCTGATTTGAGGCGCAGCTCCCCGGTGTCGTTCCCGCTACCGCGCGGGAGGGGCGACGAGACTTCGCCCGTGTTGTTAGCGGTCCCGGGGAAGCCCACGCCTTTGAGAAGGACTTCGAGGAACACCTGCGTGTCGTAGACGAAGGGTGTCGAGTCGAATGGCGCAGTCTCGATCGTCTCGTCGACGTGGTCCGCGCGCGCGATGGAGTGCGCAGACAGGAGACTGACAACCTCGAAGGGCGAGAAGTTGCCTGCGTCGGCGAAGCGTTCGAGGATCTTGGATACGTTGTCCTCAGGTACCTTGCACTCGGGTTCAGAGCATTTTTAAAAGAGAGGACGGAATTCCTACGGGAATCAATCCATCAACCGCAGGCACGGTTTTGTTCGGACGGCCCGCCATGAATTCGAGCCGAGGTGCCCCCTGGGGCGTGGCGTGGTTAGTTGAGGGTGGCCGATGACATGAAAAGGCTTACGGGACAGTTGCTAAGGGCTACGGCACCTGGGACGTGAGTTAGATATATCGCATCCGCGGAGTTTCGCATTTAGCACGTACCGGCAAATTGAACAAGATCGCCAGCGCTAACTTTATACTTCCCCAGGAAGGGAAGCAGGTTGTTCACGCTATCGTCGATGCCGTCATTCGCATCGAAGTTGGGCTCAACCTGAGCTCCATGAGTCCATGCCCCACAAATAGTGCCAGGTTCGAGGAGCTCACCGTAGGGAAGAGGAGCATGCTCCCGTCAGCACCACCACCGCTGTTGAATTAATATTAGACGGAGGAGAATCTATTTTTGAAATAGGGACGAACGCAGAAGGACCCAAACGTTGGCTGATGGAAATGGCGTCGTCTGGGAGCGCACATATGGATATCGCAGCAAATGATGTGAATGTAACATACGGAATGTCAGACGGATGGCTTCGTGGGCATCTTCGCCGCACTCGTTCTGGAAGAGGTTCTTTTGGAGATCCTTAGTGAGCTGTAACGGCCTCCATTGAGCGAGGGGTCGCAGACGCAGCGAGATTAAAGATACCGGAATGAACGGGCAGCAAGCGGCGTTGCCGACGCGAGTGCCGTCGGGGCAGACAGTGGCAGCGGGTGCAGCGCGTACGAAGGAAGCCAGAGAAAAAAGAGCGACCAGAGCGGTGAAAGCCATTGGAGGAAAAGTACTAAGAGAAAGTGTGTGGAACACTGTTGAATCGATGAAGTTGCAGGTGCTTTTATACCTTTCAGACTGAATGTGTTCGAACGGGGCACGGCGCCTTCTGTTGCACAGGAGTTCCGTAGGGATGGCCATAGTTGAGCTGCCGGGCCCCTGAGGGAACCAGAGGATATTATTGGACGACTCGTTCCTCCGTGTAATGGCATGACATCTACTCCTGTTGGTGAGTAGCCGGGAACAAGGGACGGACTGGATTTCCGACGGAAAACATGACGCGTGATCCGAAGTGGGCATAGCGGTTGGTCGTTAGTTGGAGAGGTGGTGATTACCTACGATGTAGCGGGAATATCCAAGGTTAGCGGGATTTAAAGTAGTTTCAACTTCAAGGCGATGTAGACACAGATCTTGGAGAGCGCGAGACTTGGGGATGATGGATGCAGAGTTGCAAAGAGGTAGGTAGCGTCGGCGACATTGCCAATCTGAGATTCTCTCGACGCCCGTGGAAAACGCCTCCCCGGAGAGAGCAACCCCCGCTCCCAGTCGGAAAGTCGAAGCCGGATGGTATTGCAGTGACTATAGCCGGATTCAGAGTCCAAGATGCGGAGTCGCTGCAAACCGAGGGAAGGAGTCAATTCAGCACACTCAGTCGTCCACGGGGTTGACACGGCGGCGAAAGCAAGAAGGATCTGTCACATCACACCCCCTCATGCCGGACAAGCCGCGTCATTCATCAACGCGGCGGTATCTTGCCGGTAGGGCAACGGCAGGGCAGTTCAAAAATTCCTCCTTCAACTCCCGATTCGTAGCAACGAGCTAAATTTAATCGTGGTGGATTGCGGCATTGCCTACCTGGGTTACAGAAGTAACTTGACTAAGAACTTCCGCCGCCTCACCTCCGCTGATTCCTTGCTTATAAAATCTACCCGACGGCAGGCCCGACGGAGGTGGTATGTACCGACGGTCGTGTTGACCGTCAAAGCCTCAGGAGTCAGAGATTGTATCAATAACGACATATACATAGCAAGTCCGATTTTAAAAGCACTCAGTGTTATATCAATAGGCCAAACACCGGCAGGTACGCTGTTACGGCCGGCGGAATTCGTTGCATCTGTAACATCGAACGTTTCAGCTACGCACTGATGCGAAATACTATGACATCTGATCTCGGAAGTGAGGACGTATCGGGGGAGGGGGCAGGAAATACTTAAGGAGCTGGCAGTTCCACTGCACATAAGATGGATTGCCTGCAGGCGGCTTGAAATTGGGAGCAAGACACACATCCGGAGGTCAGTGCCCCGTCTGACAGGAAATTATACCATCGGATGTATCTTGGTTGCACGGGAACGACGCGGACGTTTGGCTACGTCCGGCGGAGATAGGCATTTTCTTGATGGAACCCTTTCATCACCGACAAGACCAGGGATGCCTGAGTTTGTAGGAGCTCGCTCCGGCCCAATCGACCATAGGTCCTTGAGAGTTTCCTTTATTGTCGAACGGCTACCCAACACCGCGCCGGCGCCCCGGACTCGTGGACTTCACTCACAACTTGAGAGACGATTTCAGAAAATCAAATCTATCCAATACGATCAGGTTCCGACCGTACCTGGCTTGCATATCACCAGATATGGACGTCAGGGCTGTATGTGGGCAGCAGATTCAGTTGGTCAGCTCCGTCGGATCACCTCCCGACTATGGATAAGTAAACAGTACAAAAATGCAACTGAATGAACCTCGCAGCGGGATGCGTATCGGAGCCTCGTTCACTGGGAGGCAGAACAGAGCCGAGGACTGAGATTAGCGTATTTCGCTCGAAGATTGGTTGAAGATGAGCGGGCTCCGAAAGGGTGACGTGTTCAATCATTATTCCTTCTCGGTCTCTTAAACCCGCCACTTTAGTGATCCAGGTGGGACATGAGGGTCCCACCATAGATAGGACGTTCAAATTTAAATATATGTGCCCTCAGGTTATTATTTCAGGTTCATCTGCCTCACTTTGTCACCCCCAGCCCCCGGACCATGCTGCCGATGGAGTGGCCAGTGTAATGACCCCTTAGCTCAGTGGTAGAGCGTCGCATTCCAGTCAATCTTGTGCAATTTTGTGCCTCGCGAAGGCCGTCCGTTCAATCCGGGCAGGGGTCATGTTTTTGCCCCCTTTGAGCGAGCGGACGCGTATGCTTAGCCTTCACAATGACTCGGCTACGCGAGATTTGATGCGAATGGGATTTGGATTTCCCCTACTCTAGGCTCACTCTATCGAGAGGACCTCATATCACCTTGTATAATACTCCCTGCCCGGGCCTGCCGCCTGTCCTCTCCAGCTCAGAGCTCGAGCCCAGCGGGAATGACTAGGGAATTCATTCTCGGCATTTGCCGAACATTCCCGGTAACGTAAGTTACTGGGTCTTAGAGAGCCCTAATTTTTGTTTTTGGGCGTGCATCACATTTTCGTCAGCACTTTTAGCGTAATCACCTTTTCTCTCTGCCAAAATGTGTCGGCCAACTCTCGGCTTGCACAAGCCGAGGTTACGGCAATGATTCGCGAGCTGAACTTCATAATCCTGCTTATTCTGCCTCCAGAATGTTCTCCGAATTGCGGCAACAATGTTTCGGACTTTTCTCCGCTTGCCAGCGATTAGTCAGTCTCGCAATGGCAATGTGGCAGGTTTCTCCTAGACTCGAGCCAATTGCTATGGGAGGGACCGTGAAATTGATGACAATCGATCAACAGCACAGCTAAATAGCGACTGGAATAATATCACGGGTTTCAGGATAAGACTCAGGATAATATTAACCGGCGCGGTCCCATTTCGGAACATGCCGGGGTGTAGCGTACAATACATCGGCCTCGGAATATACTGTGCTACGCCACTACTCACCTACCCTCGACGAGCTGACCCCTCTCGGCGGGGCTGTAGATCTCAGGCATTTAAGAAGCAGCCGAAGAATGCACTGACCTTCCTGTGTGGTATTAAACTACTAATTCCCTTGCCTCTGTACTACACCATTCCAAAAAATACATCGTGTCCGATATCAATCATGGTCTGGCCGGCTTTGACATTGCAGGATGGGCGGTTAAAACCCTGTGGGGCCTGATCCGAGTTCTCTCCTCTCAAGCAGAATCCCCGCCATCCACCAGCACCAATGACGGAACCTGAAACGAAGAATCATCAAAGCAGCATAGATACAGAGACACAGGAGGTTAGTTGTCTGACCCTGGAAGGATTAGGCACCCTAATGACGGTGGATGCATGTGCACGAGGACACAAAAACACTGTCGAGGCCTTAGATAGATAGATAGATAGTATATTTCAGTCGCACCGAAGGTCAGAGACTTTCGAGGACAGCAAATAGCAGGCTATTGTGCACGGGCACAGCCTAAGATCCTAGACAGTAGGTGCACTACGGCACAAGACACCCGAAGCTAGTGCCCATGGCACAGCTCGGCATCATCCAGCACGGTACACAAAAAATCATGGCCAGCTTATAGTGAGCAAACATGTTTTAGACATGTGGATAGGGGTTTGGCCCCGCATAGTAATGTAGAACTTCAGGTTCACAGTAGAAGTATGAGCTCGGATCGATTTTCAGTCCAGACGAAAGTCAGAAACTTTCCAGGACGCAAAAAGCAGGTGCCCATGGCACAGCTTGGCTCCTCGACAGCATGCGGCACAAAAAAAGCCAGCTCGCAGGGAGCTAACACGTTTTGGACGTGTTGATAGGGGTTTAGCCCCACATAGTAGAGTAGAACTTTAGGTTCAGAGAATAAAGTTGGGAGCAGCCCAGTTCCAGACTAGGGGTTCAACCCCACATAGTAGAGTAGAACTTTAGGTTCAGAGAATCAAGTTGGGAGCAGTCCAATTCCAGACGCGATGGAGCCCAAAAGGGTTATCGGAACAACGGGTTCATTCAGGCCGGGGTCCGTGCACCGGCACAGCTTTAGCCCGGGTAGATGAGCCCCATCACTGAGCGTCGCAAATGCCCCGCCCCACCACTGGCAGCGTTGAACATTGAATGTTAACGTCCGAGATCCCAGCAGCTGGCCAGGCTGTTTCTCAGACAGTGGACAGACAAGTTACAACAGAGATATAACAGGAAACGGAGCCGATGTGCCAATAGGGGCCGAGCGCGAGATATGTTGAAGACCTCAAGTATGCACGGAACCGGGTAGTAGTAGATGCCGTTGGCCTGGGAGCATTCCTAGCGCCTGTACATGCACGCGAGGACGACACAGAGTAGCAGAAATCGACAATCCATATTTGATGGTGATGGTAAGAGTCTAACGGTAAGTAAAGTCAGAAGTTGCCGAAGATTTCTAATGTCTTAGAGAAATTTTGACGATGGTCGAGGACCGACTTCCTGGTTCCAAAAATCGTAGGAGACAGTGTTGTAGCGCCGGAAATCCTACGAACAGAGACTAAGCTTTGTAGAGGGCTATTATGTCGGACACAATCAGTTAGGGGCTACACACATATTACAGTTCCAACTGGCCCTAGTGCCCTCCAAATATCTCAAGGATGAATGCTAAAATCATTAAATTCATCTAGAGACCAAGGGGCACAGATTATAGTGCTAATAGGCGGTCACGGAGGCAAGTCACCTCAAAGAAATGAGTATTTCAGCGTGTTCTGGCCGCCTGTTCTTTGCATGTATGTCGGGGCCCATTTTCAGATATATGTCAAAGGTATTCATCGCGATTTCCAGTTACTGAAGTCCACTATATCAACAGGAGGGAAAGCTGAGTCTGAGCCCCTGTCTGGTGGCTGTGCATTCTGAGGCTAACAAAATCAGGTCGCAGAGGAATCAATTCTCGAGATATTGCAATTCTGAAAACATAGGAGGTCTTAGGATTTATCTGCATAAAAAACTGTCTCTTCGGATTTGCAGAAATCGGAGTTCGATGTCTGAGCTTTCGCGAAATTTTGGCAAAGACATTTAAAAACTTCGGCAACTTCCGATTGTACTAAAACCAGTGATTATCTTCCAGTCCCTATCGGCGACTGATCAAACGACTATCTTTGATTTTCCGCAACATCGATAGGTACTGGTTCGAGTCTAGGTTTCTCCCACCATGCCATTCACCTCCGCGACCTTCTGCAAACTCCTGCTTTCTTCCTCTGTGAATCTTCTTATCTCTGCTTCATTCAAGTTGAATCCTGACCTCTGGAATCCCGGCTCCTCAATCTATCGCCTCCGGTCTCCATACTCTCCTGTCTGACAACAGTGGCTGCATGAAGCTTGTGGTTACGATGATTTCGAAGTGGGCCGCAATTGGTGGTGCTGCTGCCATCTAACCCTTCCGCACGCGTCATTTTCATCTCCTCGGGCGTCGTTCAACCTGGCCGGCCGCCAACCAGTGAGCTTCCGCTGCCTGATGTAAATCTGCCTCCTGACATAATTCCACAGATTCTGGACCGTCGACCTCAAATGTCTGTAGGGATGTTGATCCTGCATTCTACTCATTCGAGAGCCATCAAAATCGGCTCAGGATTCTCGACCAGGGGAACGAATCTCGCTACCATTGCCTTGCAACTCCGAACCAGGGATGATGCCGCCGACTCTGCATAAGTTGCCGATGCCGGTGCCCAAGGGTTCACCGATGAAGAGGGCAGACACAAGTAATTGGTTCACTCACCACTCCGTTGAATTATGTGCTTCTGCTCCTTATTCGTACATAATTTATTAGACCATCTCGTGTTTTGTTCGCCGACTTACTACTGCTGCATTTCAGTTTAATAGATCAAGCCTTAACTTGTCTTATAAATTAGGTAGCGGGCCATGCTACTCGCCGGCGTTACAGCTTTATCTGCAGCGGAAATTGTGGTTGATCTCTCACTTTTGGTGCTCCACTAGGGCGCACAAGGATGGGACGGCCAGAACACGGGCAGGCAGCGAACGTGACAGATACGGAGTGTCGCAGAAACAAGCTGGGGCTCAGATCCCTAATGTCAAAGGGGGTAAGTTGGAGGCAGGTACGAGCTTCACTGTTTTTTTTGAGGCATCTGGCTAGGAGAGACGAGACACAGCCTCAGTTTTTGACGGATGATTCATTCCCTTGGGTCACGGACATATTTGCTGAGAAATTGTAGTGCGCACGCTTGCCGACGAGTCTCAAGGGTACTAATTTAATCGAGCCCAAGTCCCGTGTATATAAAGGAGGTCGAGTTTCCGTTTGCCGCTTGGATCGAAGAATTAGAAATTAACCAGATTCAAACCAACCAACGTTACCGGGCCTTGCCGCTCGTCGGCCTTACCCGCTTTATGATTTGATGGGATCAGACCGGGCCAAATCCCGGCTTCCGCAACGCCACCGCGCATCATACTTACCTACCACCGACTTTCGCCGGTCAATTCACGCGGGATGGACGAAGAAGCCGCTGCACATCCGCTTCTAGTCGAACCACCCATCGGCAACAGTCGGACGTATCCAGTCTAAGCGAACGAAGATTGAAAGCAACTGCCAGCGCGGGCGATTTACTCTGCTCATGCTCCCAAGGGCACCACGGGGGGTGTAACATGTCTGCAGTTCGGCGAGTCGCTCTCGAGTCCCGAATTTCCTATCATTGGCATCGGCCGGTACGACTGTACCGCGCGCGTGTCACTTGTATGTGCTCGGCAACGGGAGCATCGAATCCACCATCATCGGGGTCTGGGATCTTCGGACTGGCGTGGCGTCCACGCTGAGTGGTCATTCAGATTGGGTCAACTCGATACAGCTTTGGGACTCGACTCCGGGCACTCAGTCGATTTTGTCCGCGGCGCTAGCAATTTTAGATTACTGCGGGGCAGGTGCTGTTTTCAGCCTCGGACGACAGGACGCCCGAACTCTGGGATCTCAGCCTGCCAACTTGTATCTCTTCACTGGCCGCAGCGTGCCGGCGATCGCTTATCGAACGGCGACCCCAAGCCCAGCGCCGCCGACACGCTCGCACTCGCAGCACTCCCGAGCCGCAAAATCTGTTCTCATCTCGGGTAACCTCGACAACAGCCTCAAATTGTGGGACATCGACACTGGTGAGGCAACTTCGACGTTCATTGATCACATCGAATTTGTGTGGGCTGTGGCGGGGGATAAATCGAGGCTGGCCGGTGGAAGCCACGATCACACGATCAAGGTATGTATATTTCCGTCCATCCCTGCA